TCTTTCAGCGACAGTAAAGAATAAGCCGACTCGAGGAAGAAATGGAAAGCCTCACAGCTCAAATAGGAGTCATGAAGAAAATTTTGAAAGGCCTAAAAAAAGACAATACGATGTCCGTTGCAAATGCAGAAACGCTAGAACTTGAAGCCTTTGTCAACTAGGCGGCCAGCCCTTCAACTGCCACAGGACTGCTTGCCCGTAAACTCTACTGTACTGATGAACTCATAAGAAATTCGATAACAGGAAAGAGAAATTCAAAATGTTCGGAAGCAGGTCCAAGACCAGCTCTCGACCAACTCAAATTAAACAGAATTGAAGGATTGGTGAGAAAGAAATGGCAGAACTTTAAACGAAAGGAAATGGTCGAAAAATACAAAATATTCAAAAAGTGCTGAGAAGCAGGCCAGTCAGAAATTGAGCATTTGATAATATGTCAGTCATTGATATGTAACAAACACTGTTTTTTGGCAACAGTAAAAAGAGACAAAAATTAGAAATATATCACTCATTTGGTTGTTTCCAACCAACAAAGATGCCCCCTGATCTATTCATACTATTTACGTGTTAAACATGTGGTACTAGCAGAGTGCATCCGTGTTTAAAAATCAAGTGATTGGTTTGACAGATTGAAAGTTTCAATCTCTATTTCGTAAATTATCTGGTTCAGTTCATGAAATTTCATGAATATCTATGAACTGAATGATTTTTTTTGGGGTGGGTGGGGGTATGGGAATTCATGAATGTTCATGGAATATTTTATTCATAAATATTCATCATGGTTTTAAGTTCATGAATATTCTTAATAACATTCATGAACTATCATGAATTGGGAAGTTCATGAACATTCATGCACTAGGATGATTTCATGAATGAAAACTTCTTTAACCTAATTCATGAATGTTCATGAACATAATTTGAAGAAATAGTTCATGAAGTTTTAAGTTCATGAATTTCATGATAATGTTCATGAAGAAATTAAGAATATTCATGAATTTTGTTCATGAATAATTCATGAAATATTCATGAACTTTCATGAAATATTCATAATCATTTCGTAAGGGTACTTACCAAAGTCGATTGTTTTGACACTGAGAGAATTGTCAAGAAACAGATTTTACTTACCAAAGTTGGTTTTGCCACTAAGAGACCTGTCAAAAAATAGGTTTTACTTACCAAAGTCAGCTATTTTGACATTTAGAGAACTGTCTAGCAGCAGATTTTCTGGTTTTAAATCCCTGTGAACTACCATATGTCGATGACAGTAATCAACACCAGATATGATCTGCTGGAAAAATCGTCTTGCTTCAGGCTCCTTCAACTGTATAAAAATACAGGGTGATATAATATTTCATATAACAGAGAAAAAACTCTAAATGTTCTGATCACTCAAATGCAATTGTTATTTCTATCAGACAGCTGACCAATCAAGCAAATGTGCACTTAAAGTGTACCATGAGTGTAATTTTATATTTAGATATAATGTTAAGAATGCCGTAAAAATAATAATGAAAACCCTGTCAAAATCCGTCCCCCCAGTGTCGAGTTATTAAAACTCAAAGTTGTCGATTTTCACCTGACCGCTCAGACCTAATCACCGTAATCATCATTTCCGCGGAATCGAGGCGCTCCTACTCGTGACATCATAAGTTCAACAGAAGTGGCAGCCAACATGACTGACAGTGACAACGACACCGCACCTGATAGCAATTTGAACATGAGTTTTGAGGAGTCTGATTATGGTGTGGATGGTATTTCTGTAGACGGAATCCAGCCCTACCAATTTGAACAGAAATTACAAAACGATGTATCCAGTGAGGAGGAAAATAACATCGACCGTCATTTAGTCAAACTCTTTTCGGTGGAGTCCGATCCATTGCTTTCATTACGCTATACCGAATTGGAAATGAAGTTCCGTCGAAGTGTTTTGAACATAAATATGAATATTTCGTTGGGCCTTTCCACATGTCTCTCTTCTTCCTGACAAACTGAATCCATTGTTTGCATAAATCTGGCCTATATAATGGGAAGGCATGCATCGACACCCCATCCGTGTTAGTCAACTTAGTGTTGGCCCCGGGAATTTTCGTATCGAAGAATTTTCGTCTCGGGTATTTTCGTCCTGAGAATTTTCGTACTACTATTATGTGGCACAGTAAAGCCAATATGGCTGCATCAGCAAAAGCGTTGAACTTATGACGTCACAGGTTTGGATGCCCGAAAATGAGGTCAACGCCTCTCAGCCAAAGGTGTGTTTTTCAGAAAAGTCACAATTTCTCAGTAACCGAACATTCCACGGCATTTGTGTTTCCGGCAATGTGTATTTTATGTGCAGAACTATTTCTTAAGCTCAACATAGCTGACCTCTCAGGGTACACTTTAACCAAATCAAAGATTCAAGCCACAGTTCAGGTATGTGATGTCTGTAACACTCCTCATACTGAAAATAATTGCTCTTCTTACTCAATTTTCAATAAGCAGTACAAATAGAGGTCAATATTTCTATGATACCTTCAAGTTGGTTCAAATGACTAAGCTAAAGAGAAATTCTCCTAGAGCGGAGTTGGTAGGGGGCAGCTAGTATTTCACCATGGTTACAATTATATACACTATTGTATATCATTTATATTTCATGTGGGAATTATTTTCATGCAATACATATGGAGATTAAATCACGCATTCAAATCCATCGTAATTATTTATTGATATTATCTATAGTCTATATATCTAAAAGCAGGCATCATTCGCAAGTCATTTCTAGATCACTGCTTGTGAAATCAAGTAATCGCGAATATGTCTGAAAAGGTAAGTTTGCGAAATTAAGTATTAGTGAAACCTATGCGATTTGCACCAAGTTGAAACTGCATGACTTTTTGGGTCAATTGTCAATGACTTATTATACATGTACAATAACGCTACAATCATTTTACCATTTTTTCACACCATTTTCTACCTTAGTGTACATCAGATTATAGCAGTCGAAAAAGTTGGTCAATTCTATACCATCTCATTCACTCCATATTTCAGTTCTGGTATGCTACACTGGTCATTGATCTGATGAAGGTGAAAGGGCTAATGTTGTCATCAAACTTTCAAACTTCACGATATAAGAACTTCTAGTCTAACACATGGTATGTTACCATATCAATTTCATCGTGTAATAAATAAAACCAGGTTCAATATCATACTTTTCTTAAAAAGGCAGGAGGTGGGCTTATTACAAAATACATAGAAATGGTCTGGTGGGGGAAACAGTGTTACTTATTACACAATACATAGAAATGGTCAGGTGGGGGAACCAGTGTTACTTATTACACAATACATAGAAATGGGTGGGTGGGGGAAACAGTGTTACTTATTACACAATACATAGAAATGGGTGGATGGGGGAAACAGTGTTACTTATTACACAATACATAGAAATGGGTGGGTGGTGGGAGCAGTGTTACTTATTACACAATACAAAGAAATGGGTGGGTGGTGGGAGCAGTGTTACTTATTACACAATACATAGAAATGGGTGGGTGGGGCAGTGTTACTTATTACACAATACATAGAGATGGGTGGGTGGGGGAACAGTGTTACTTATTACACAATAAATAGAAATGGGTGGGTGGGAAAGTGTTACTTATTACACAATACATAGAAATGGGTGGGTGGGGAAACAGTGTTACTTATTACACAATACATAGAAATGGGTTGGTGGGGGAACAGTGTTACTTATAACACAATACATAGAAATGGGTTGGAGGAGGGAACAGTGTTCTTTATTACACAATAGATAGAAATGGGTTGGAGGAGGGAACAGTGTTCTTTATTACACAATAGATAGAAATGGGTGGGTGGGGGGAACAGTGTTCTTATTACACAATACATAGAAATGGGAGGAGGGGGGAACAGTGTTACTTATTACACAATAGATAGAAATGGGTGGATGGGGGAAAAGTGTTACTTATTACACAATATATAAAAATGAGTGGGTGGGGGGAACAGCGTTACTTATTATAAAATACATAGAAATGGGAGGGTGGGGGAACAATGTTACATATAACACAATACATAGAAATGGAAGGGTGGGGGGAACAGCGTTACTTATTACACAATACCTAGAAATGGGGGGGTGGGGGAACAGTGTTCTTTATTACACAATAGATAGAAATGGGTGGGTGGGGGGAACAGTGTTACTTATTACACAATACATAGAAATGGGTTGGGGGGACGGTGTTATTTATTACACAAGATAGAAATGGGTGGGTGCGGGAAACAATGTTACTTATAACACAATACATAGAAATGGGTGGGTGGGGGAACAGTGTTACTTATTACATAATACATTGAAATGGGTGGGTGGTGGGAACAGTGTTACTTATTTCAAAAATTCTTACGGCTAGGTCATCATTACAAGATAAAAAGTAATACATGTATTTACTGCTGCAACAGTTTCTGATTCAATAACCTAAATGTGAGAACTGTGTGATTAATAACTTGAGTGCAAAACATAATCAAAGTCACGAGCTCTCTATCTCCCACCTTCAATTTGAGCACATCATTTTCAAGTGTCTGCAGCCATCAATACTTTCTACTAAAATAATTTGCCTTAATAACTCAATTTAATGAAAACAGAAATATATACAGATTACCTACTAATACAATTAAGAAAATATTCTGAGGTTATAAAATATGCATAAGTGAAAAAAAAAACATTGAAATGCAAGAACTAGACCTTTTTTTCTTTTGTTTTCACAGAAAAAATGGGTGGGGTTTAGCCAGGGCTCGCGCTGGCGATCGCCAATGGCGCCATTGGCGAAAGTGAAATGAGATTGGCGATTTCAAATTTCTATTGGCGAAAATGCCGATTAGAGACATTTCCAGTCACCGATGACTGTATAGGGAAAAATCATTGGCGTTTAACTTATTTGTAACGAGTGACACAGGTAAATTTTGCTCCGACATCATTGTGTACTACACGGTCACGGCTGACTGACTCTCGCAGCTGGGGCAAGGTCAGCTATCGGAACTCTTTTGTGTTTTGACAGCAACGTTTACCTGTATAAACAGCAACACGCCTGTAATGAAAATCGCCAATTATCCAATGATGTCTCCATTGTCTCAATCCGAGATAGCCTCTGCCGTGAACAATAAGGTAAGTTAGCTGAAGGAAAGATGTTGTTTTATCGGGAATTGGCTTACGGTAGGTCGATCATTATGTGTGTCGATGTCGTTAATTGGGCACGAGTTTGTGATTTCTGCAGACATAACTTAGTAAACTAGTGTATTTGAAAGGGCCTGAAATAGGCTTCTTAACCTTTTTGATCGACTATTAAAGTAACAAGAAACACAAGATATAATTTTGTTGTTTTTAGACTATGTTGCCGATTTTGTTTTATATTTTTGTACATATTTTGGTCACAACAGATTTGGCCCTTCACTAAGATAGATCGTTAGATGAAATGGGAAAACGTAAACTACCCTTTAGTGATAGGGATGGGAAAGTACCCAGATTGTCTTCATTTGGTTTTAAGACACCATCTATTGAAAAGGAAAATGACAGCCCTGATCAGGTTACTAGTTATTAGTTAGAAATAGTTTCACTGATGGCTGCAGTAAGAAAGAGTGCTTGGTTAAGCATGAGAAAGGATCAGGTATAAACAACTATTCATCATTTATGAACAGAAAATTATGTAAATTTAGATTAAGTAATTCAGAAATACTATACAGCCTGGAGGATGGTACAATGTAGTTACTCATTACAGTCTGCTTGGCACATGAATTAGAAACACAATCTTTTAGTTTAATGATTATGTCTTTATTATCTCTGAAGTGTTTTTAAGAGATATATTACTTAGGAAGTTACTGTAATAAGTATAATACTTTGATGGTGTAAAATAAGGTTTGATGTAATCCTGTGTCTCTCTGCAAACGTCCAATTCTATTCTAAATTTTATTTTCAATTTTACAGATGAGAACTCTCACTCTGCTGCTTTGGCAACACAACAGCAAACTGCCGAGATGCAGAAGGCCTGTAATAATTTCATGTTTATAAACTCTTTTACCATATACTGTATTATGTTTGATGTATTGTTGTTAAAACAGTGAATAAATAATGTAATTATATAATTAGCATATGTGTTATTATTATATGAGAGAATTAAGGGCTCGTCGGGTGAGGGTGAGGGCGAGTTCCGGAATCTGTTCGCGCGCTTATAGCAAAAAAAATTTGGTTTGGCGAAACTGAATTTTGACCCAGAGCTAGCCCTGGGTTTAGCTATCAGCCAACAGCTTTTGTGTATGGCTGTTTTGTAAGGATTAATATTGCAATCGTAAAAAGAAAGTATTGTAATTGTTAGTAGATAAATTAACCTTATATTTCATTTAGTTTATGAGATCATAAATACAATGATGTAGTCAGTAAATTGCATGTAAACACTTCCCATTTACATAATTTACCTCCTGCTCAATTTGATTTACAACTTCATAAACTAAGCAAGATAAAAGGTTAATCCTTATATAACAACTTCAAACTACAAGTCATGGACTTAAAAAGTTCAAAGGACAATGAATGAATTCAGCATCTGATGGTCATTTTAGTGAAAAGCAAAAGATATGGGTGGGCTTATTAGCTGATAAATGAACAAATACAGCAGTTTGATATCATTCTTTCCATACAAACCTTGCCATGTTTAACAATGTAATCAAATAATTCTCCACCAGCTACATACTCCATCACCATAAATATATCAGTGGGTGTGCTCATCACTTGGTACCTGTCAAAACAGTTCTTTATGAATGTACCAAAAATAAATTGTAATAAAGACATGGATAAATTAATATCTGAATTTGTCACTTAATAATTACATGGCATAGCGACCATTTTTATAAAGTTATGTCAATAATTTTCTTTTTATACAAAAACATCTAATTTTGCCTTGATCAACTCATGAATCCCACCAATGCTCATTGTCGATACTCCAGAGGTCACAATCACTTTCGTTCTCTGCACCCCTGAAACAGGTCATGACAAAATTGCAGACACAAGCGATATAATCTTATCGGTTTCAGGAGAAATAAAGTGACCAATCATAAAGGAGCAACACCAAACATCAAAACCATTACAAAATACTGTTATGCGACCTCAAGATTTGTTTGATGTACATCAAAGGATTAATCTAGTCTTTCTGTCTTGTCCACAAAGTGTTGCATACAGAACCTTCAATCTTGTCATTTGTTTCAGAGGTGCAGAAAGCGAAAGTGATCATAATCCCTGGAGTATCGAGGATAATCAATGCCGAGCCCTTGAATCATATGCACATGATAATGAGATCCAATTGTTTCACTTCTATTTATAAGATATATCACAAACTGTAATATACAGAAATCTGCAAAATAAAAATACATTAGAACCTGAACCAGTCTGCTGTTGATATAATGCTATTTAAACTGTTTTTTTTTTTTTTTTTTTTTTAATAAAGAACAGTGCTTTTCCATTATACATTGTGTAATGTTGTCTGGTTCTAAAATTTGTTGTGATGCATAAACAAAGAGATTATCACTTACAACTTGATGATATGAGGATGTCTGAATAGTTTCAGATTTTGGATTTCACGCTTGATTTTGCCAACAACGTCAAGATTCTTGATCTTTTGACGATTCAAAATCTTCACTGCCACTTTATGGTTAGTCACATGGTGGGTTGCAACTGAAAAAGATGTCTTTTTTCATCATTTTGATATTACCAGGCAAGAAATAGAACAACTTACTCAATTTGATAACACATATAAGGCGTGCAATACTTTTAGTTTTCTTCATCAATTTCTAGGTGATTGTATATTGATGACTTTGAATTTTTTTCGTAATAATCTTTACTATCTTTGACATAAAAGGCAAAAGTTAAGGTATCCATTGCTGTATTGGAGAATGACCAGTAATTTGAGAAGAGTAAACAAAACCTTGAAAGGTTGTTACAGATAAGGTAAGGGTGTAAAATATAACTCAAGTAAGGTAATAGTTATTTTACTGCATTGGAGTTAAAATGATTACATGCCATGTTGAGTTATCTTTAAATCTGTATTGCATGGAAAAGTTTGATTCTGTTCACTACAATGCATACCTAACTGAAATATTGTACTATGTGTAGGAGAGCATATATCATAGAAAACCTAATTCTTTTTCTGACCACTCTCAGCCAGAGAACATGAATGAAACGTTCGTCTGATCACTTTCATCAGAAGACATATACGTGATATATACGTCTCTGCTTTCATGTAAATTATTTTTCTTAAGTTTGGGTGATAAAAATCCTCTGTAATGAAAGAGTATATTGGTGCACCCTGTCATAATGCATAATACCTGTGAACTGGCCATTTCTGTTCATATAATTACTCCTATTGTAGCTACATTGGGGTTAGGAAAACATGCATAATTAACAAAATTTAGTTAAACCTGTGAGTTATTTAGATCTCGTGTAATCAAATGACATTTCAATAAAATTACACATAAGAAAATGATACATTTCACTGCAATTCTAAATACATGATAAATCATCCATGCACTGTCATGACATTTGTAACAATTTATCCGTGACCTCTCAGACGTAAACAAAGTCATCTGGCACGGTCTTTGCTCTTGTTTCCATCAGTTATCACATTCTAAACCAAGAAAATCTCTAAATATTGTAAAAATATATATATATACATATTACAAATATCATACTTTTCACTTTTCCAAAAGTTCCAACGCCAAGCGTATCTCCCAGGATATAGTGACCAATTTTTATCTGTGGTGCATTTTTCTCCGCCATGTTTTGAGTTTATCTTTCCTCGCGGTTGGCGAGTTCGTAGTCCAAATATTTCCAGTGACGTAGCGCAGGATTTGCGCGTTTCAGTCACAAAGGACACTTATTTGTGGGAGCAATACCTAACTAAACATTTCACATCTGCATCTTCAAAGATAAGATGTCAAAGTTGTATTTCATCCTTGAAGGTATGAAGTGACATGTGCCAGATCAAAAACATGGACGTCATGTGGGCCTCTCGATTTGTCAACCAATCAAAATACTCAAAAGTGACCCCGGAAATAAAACAGCGAAGATCAAGGTCATTTGCTTGCGGGGTTTATTTTTTTTCTTTCACAAAAATTGCAGGAAACACCACTAAAGAAAATGTTCAGCAGCAAGGAAGAATTGAAGAAAAGGACCGGTGAATGTGGTATTGGCAGATTTAATTACTTGCAATCGCTTGTCACCGAATATCAAGATACGGATAACAATGGTTGGTAGGAAATAAAGAGCCGAAATGGGTAGCACTATTCACCCAATTCCACCCAATTCCTTCACAATTCTACCAAATTCTTCACAGCTCTTGCTCTAGTTGTACTCCAGTTGATAATTATAACTAACATATATATGGGGAAAATTTGTTTTTGTGCATATCGTGTCTGAAAGCAGTTATCTCCCTTTAAATAATATAAATAAAGAATATATACATTCTCCATGTTCTTGCCATTTATCTGAGATTATACATGTAATAGAAAACTAATACAAACTAGGTAATATTTATTAGTAACTTTATTTATAAAAATGATATCATAAATACATGTATATGTAGTCATATTAAATGTATATATATACACGCCAATTAAATAATAAAAACTAGTATAACATATAACAACCATGTATCAGAACACTTTGCAAATAATAAACTGATTAAGCATAATACATGTATAATTGATAAATTAAATAAAATATTGATATGTGTAAGAATGTATATTGGTCTATTAAATCGTAGATGAAAAAACCAATGAGATATTTATAATTCCCAAAAATACACAATTTGATAATTCATCAGGAATAAAAAAAAAAAAACAGAAAAAAAATTGATTATCCATACTATGCAAACCTTTCACCACTGTTGTGGCTTGAATTTAAGCTGAAGATTCACAGTTGGTTTTTTTTGTGTTTTTTAATCGTTGATATATATAAATATATAATACAAGTACATTAACACTTTTAGCATATTTTGCGGAATGTTTCATAACCATTTAAAATGGCTGTTGACTGAAACCAGAGTATATATGAACTATAATGCATATTAAATTATTTATAGAACTACTGTACATAGTTACAAAGTACTTAATGAACAACGGGCGCGACGATTTACCCAAATACACCCCAATACACCCAAAGCTTTCACAAATATACCCAAATAAAGCCAAATCTTACCCAAATATACCCACAATCTACCTAAATCTTACCAAAATATACTCAAATAAAGCCAAATTGATTTACAGGAACGTGCCGTAACGGGCTCTGTATTATCAGTAGTGTTGGGAATCGGTTGAGATTTCCTGATCGATCATCAACTTTGTGTAACCGATCGATGATCGATTATAATCGATTAATTCTTAATTGTCTGTTTTTGGATATTATTCAAGTCTAAGTACATATTTTGTGTAATGTTTTAACAGCAATTCACGTAATTACTAAAAATGTTGTACCTACACCATCATTTTGTGTACTTGTTATTCGTTTATTGCACAGAATACTTTTTAATATAAACAAATGTCGTTTTTTTTTTTCAAATAATTTTATTAATGTTGAAAATAATTTCAATGTTCAAATAATCTATTTTCATACATCACGATGATCGATTACAGATTTCTTAATCGATTAATTGATCAAACATCTCAAACAAGTGATACTCGATTAACTCGATTAATCGGAACAATACTAATTATCAGGGACGTATATCTGTTATATATACGTACCTGGTATTATATTTTATTACTAATAAACGATATACACATGATCAAATAGACTATCTTTATCTAATTTTAGCTTTCATTTACTAAGGCAATTTATATAAATTCCGTAATACCATATAGGCTAACGGGCAAAAACAGACAAAAATGAAGCGGGAACGAATTTGGGTAGGTTTGGGTAAGATTTGGCTTTATTTGGGTGTATTTGGGTATATTTGGGTGTATTTGGGTATATTTGGGTAAATCGTTGCGCTGATGATCAACATTGTTCCACTTCTCATCTGTCTGTAATATCAACTTAAACCTGGGTTTTAACTCGAGAACCAATGCAAATATATTACCTAAATTTGGCAAAAAGCGTCCAATGTGAAAATGCTTGAGTTTCCACAAAAAATGGTCTCGGCTCCCATAGGTGCTGCTATTAAGGGTCAGAAATAGGGGGACCACAATTCTTTGAATTTGCATTTTGTATAATGCAAGTTACCATTTTCTTGCTGCATAATGTTTATAATACATAATTATACTGTTAAGCTTTTTGCATACAAATTCACTGCTTATTCATTTTTATTGTTGTTTTTTCCTGCTTTAGGTCTTCTTCTTTGACCAGGTTTTTTCCCTGATGTTTGCTTAGGATTCGGACACAGAAACGAAGGATTTGTTGCATGAACAGTGTTTTTTCTGGCAGTGTTTGACAGAGGAATTGTTTTCTTTGTTTTCAGGAATTTATGGTAGTGTTTTTCTTTTTCCATATTGCTTTTTTGTTGCCAGATGTCAGGAGAAATGAAAAAAATTCAAGCTGTTTGTTGTTAGTTTCAAATTTCCAGAACCATGAAGTGCCCTTCTAACATCAAGGAGTTGTATTTTGGAAACCAACGTCAATTTTTTTTATTAATTCATTTAGTTCCCACTACTTCCACTCTGCAACCTGTTTGAGTCTGTTGTTCATGGATTCTGAGTTATTATTTGTCCAAAGAGATTGTATCTGGTTTGAATGGAGAGGTTTGTTAACATGTTTGAAAATTTTACTTGCCAGATATCTATCCCAGTAATTTTTGAAGTCTGGGTAAGAGTTGAAATATGGATTTAAATTTTCAAGGTTATATGAATAATCAAGATCATCCTAACTAAAATAACTAATACATGCATGAACGTTTACAATTCTGAAAAAACTTTAAACTAGTAAGAAAAAAGTGCATTCAACATTTGTAGCAATGTTCTTTGTTCACCGAATTCATTTGCTGAATATACATATGAAAACGAAAATTTCTGAAAATATTCAACTTTTTTCAGTAAACTAATATTAAACCATCATCTAGTATATTTTCAAAATCAGTTTACTAATAAAACATATTTCATATTTTTAATGCTAATAAATTTTATGATTTAAGTATTTTATTTATGAGTTTATTCAAATAATTACAATGCGAGTTGTATCTATTTATATTACTTGTATAGTCTACTCGTCAGGCCGTAAAGGAAGGGAGATAACTACATTGTCAACATAGGCCTTACCCACCTAGCTTTTTCAGACACGCTAGTGCAGTGCAGAACTACATATAAATTTTTCTTGGGTGTATAGTTGTATATAAGTGTTTGAAATTAGGGAGAATTGCTAAGAATTTGGTAGAATTGTAAAAGAATTGTGAAGGAATTGGGTGGAATTGGGTAGAATTGGGTGAAATTTGGTAGAATTGGGTAGAATTGGGTAAATTGCACTGCCATTTTTGCAGAACTTATTGGAAAAATTTCACTTCTTCAATTATGATACAAGATGTACTAAATACAGATAAGATATAGTGAATTTTCCATTTCTTCATCGTGAGATACTACTTTCCCAAGCTCATAGTGTTTATAAACTTTTCATATCAAATGGTTCTAGATCCCATTGTAATTAGTAGTTGACCACTAAATAAACTGAACGCTTTGTTTTGCGATCTAGGGTTGCAAATTGATGAATTTGGAGAATTTTTTGGATGCCACAATAATTTCATAAGAAAGTGTCCTCGTGCGTTCTGAATTTAATTTTTTTTTTGATGAATTTGAAAGTACAACTTCATACTTTCTTGGATTGACCAAGATTTACATTGTGTGTTCAAATGATGGGTACATTTCTGGAAAACAGTTGGTCTCTTTTTTGAAGTCTGCATGTGAAACTTTCTTTTGTTCAAAGTCTGTCCTCATTTTCATTAATTTTTAAAATCTCAGTTATGTTAATATGCCAGTATTATCTTTTTGTTATTGTTCAAGGGAAGCAATTAGTGTTACATCTGTAGAAAATTGCCTTATCTTCATACAATCACATACATTGTATGTGGCCCATCAATTTTTCTAGAAAGAGGTTGTTTGGTTGCAGTGGCACAGTGGTTCTAAAAGTATGATCTTTTTATTTCAGAGTCAAAGCAGCAAGTTCTTGCCAACTTAGCAAACTTTGCCTATGATCCTATAAACTATGGACATTTTCAAGTGCTGAATATTGTGGATCTTTTCCTTGGTAAGTACATATCTAAAAGATGATAGAAAACTGATCAAGTAATTTTCACTGTTACTCAAACAAGTATTATGTTTGCATGTAATTTATGTGGGTAGTTGTTAATAAGAAAAGAATTAATGTTCTTGAGGTAGGGACCTGATGATTTTTGGGGTGACATATATAAGTTGAGGTCACTGAAGCACTGAAGTTTAAAATACATGCAAATGAAAATCAACATACATTACTCAGTTGTTTGTTATCCATGTGGTAAGTTCAAAACAGAGACCCACATCAATTTCTTTTTTTTTACGAGGTACATGCTGTTCTTGATAAATCTGTATTTTGTTGTTACTTATTACATGTTCTCTGAATTTGTTTTTTTATTTGAACAGATGCTTTAGAAGAGTCTAATGAAAAGTTGATAGAATATGCCATAGGTGGAGTGTGTAACTGCTGTTTAGGTAAGAAGGTGGGTTCATATTCATTATAGGAAAACCAAGCAAAAATCTTTGCAAAGTTTTGATGATTTGTACCTTTTCTTCTCTGTCACACAAAAAGAATATGTAAAGCATATAATTACTTAAGTGTGGATAATGTTTGAAAGACCTATAATTAAAGCACATGTACAAACTTTGTTTAGCATCTTATACATCATGTACAAGAAGCTAACCAGTTAAATTTCATAAAGTGATCTTCACAATAGCTGCTTTAAAATATTTTATTTCTTATTTGATAGATAAGAGGATTAAACTGCAAGTAATACAACATGATGGAGTTAAGCTTGTCACTGCCTGTCTGTCAAGGTGAGTAGATAGTTCTGAGTTGTCTCCCCTATCTACATTTGTTACCTCTGACTCTGCCAGTTAAGGTAAGGAGATATTTAAATAGTTCTGTATTGGTTACCTTTGATCTGTCTGTCAAGATGATATGGTGTTTAAATATTTCTTTATTATCTCCCCTGTCTACATAGCTATCTTATTTTTAGCTCACCATCAATGATGCTGGAATGTTAACAAATTGCCCTACATCTCGGGTCCATCGTGTGTCTTTTTTGTTACTTATTACACAATACACAATATTTTTGTTATGACTATATTTTGAGAAGGGCTGGATGGATCTTTCTCAAATTTCATATGTATTCTCCCCATGGGTTTTAGTTGTGCCTTTTAATTTTGGGACTGATCAGAAAAGCAAAATGTCTACCAAGAAACCTTCAAGTATTTTGACATGAAAATTGTTATTTCCATTGCTTGAGAAGGACAGGAAAGATTTTACTCAAATTTCATGTGTAGGTTCCCTTGGTTCTTAGTTTTATCCTTTTGATTTTGGGACTTTATTGTTACATCTTGAGATAGGTTATCAGATTTTATGTAATTAAGAGCAGATAAGAGAAAAGAATGGAAAACCCCAACTTTTAAACAATAAATTAAATGAAGATCAGACAATAATGGACATCAATATAGTGCTCACAGACACAGAATTGCAGATTTCTGGTCCAATGATACATGTATGAATTTCACTAGAGAACATTTCTCAGGGAAAGTCAGTAACACTATGATAAGAAGGTTCAATACTATGAATTAATTTTGAGATAACTCCTTTAAAGAGTTACAAATGTTAAAAAAAATTAATGATAGAATTAAAAATAATAAAATTTAGTCCATAGCATGAGTAACAATATTTCATTTATTGTTGTCTTTTGAAACAACCCTATGTGTCAAAGTTTTGAAAATTTGTCATACAACACAACTCATTCAGGACAAGAAGTACCTGTATAATCTATTACTTTAACTTGAATAATTTTGTACATTGTTGTTCTATTTTTTTGTGTCATTATGAAGTGTTAACCTTTGGAGGAGAAATCTTTAAAATGGGATCATATGATTATTTTATTTCCAGTCCTAATGAGGAGACAGTGTTATCAGCTATCACAACTCTTATGTATCTCACTACTCCAGAATCAAAGAAAGGTAAGATAGTTATTCAGATTCATCTGCTGTCACAACTCTTAGTATCTCACTACTCCAAAATCAAAGAAAGGTAAGATAATCATACCATCATCAGCTTTGTCATTTGAATCATCGTCACTTGATATAAGATGGCAAGATTGGGGCTCAAACTGGTAAGTTTGCACCATGAACTCAACCCCTTTGCTTTGTAATGGACTGGATATCCTTATTTTTTTGTATATTTAGAAGATAGGTGAACCAAACTTTTGTTCACACTACTAACCAAAATTCTTCAATGGTGCCTGATCAACCAATGAGAATACTTGATTACGAAATAACTCTAAATATTATACTTTCTTCAGGTGTTTACATGTGAAAATAATGCTGCCATTACATTGTGCAATCATCTACCAAATTCATGTGAAAAAAGGACTTTTTATTTTCATTGCCAGTGACCTTTTAAACAAACTATATTGCCAGATATTTATTTTTAAAAAGATTTCTGATAGGATCATCAAAACATGCTCTTGAAATGAAGTTGATCCTTATCACAATAACAGATCAGTCTGGTCACCATTGTTACACATGAATAATGAAAGGAATTTCACAACAGTAATATTTGAAGTTGAAATGTAGGCAAACAATACCAAATTTTCAACACATATCAATGAATCATTATTCTGTTCTGATATTTGTGGGTAATCAAAATATCTACATTAGACCTGTGTTGCTGTATGGCTCGGAAAAATGGGCAGTAACAGCTGCTACTCTTAGGAGGTTTCGGCGCAATGATAGAGCCATGATAGAGCCATGATCTGCTTTGTCAAACGGAAGACGATGTTCCCATAGAGTCTGTTCTTGCTCAGCTAGACATTAAAGATATCTCAGAAATTCTCCAGACTAGCATGTTGAGATGGTTTGGCGATATAGAACGCAGTGAAGGATGGATATCAAGGATCCTTACCCTAAATGTCACTTGTTATTGGGCCCCGGGTAGACCAAAACTGACCTGGAATGACTTAGTGAAACAGGACTGTACACCCCGATGAATGGGTGACACTAATCCACTGGATCGCCGAACATGGAGAGGGAGACTTCGTTCTCGACTGGACAGCCAGGCCTCGCCCGTGGATAAGGATTAATCAAAGGCCTGGATAATCTAAACTGATGATGATGTTTTCTTTTTTATCATGTCAGTAAAAGTTTGTTAGAAAGCACTGGGTCAAAAATAAAACTTTAAGTAGATGCTTATCATGGTATCTGCAGTACTCTAGTCGAGTTTCACTAACCAAGCTTTAGGTGAAGTTTTAATGTCATGTGCTGTATATTTCAGTTTTGTGTTTAATTGTCTTACCTAAAACTGAATTCTGTGTTGTGATATTTTCAGTTAAAGTGCAGAATAAACTGATTAGATTTAGACACATTTAAGATAGAATATGTATGCATGATAGTTAAAGAGTACCTGAAATTTTGTTGGTGGTAATTAGGTATGTTGCTTTTTTTCAGATATAATGTCATTGCCTGTTGTTGAGTGTATGCTGAGGTTTTCTGAAGCTAGTAATAAGAGACTTGGTAACCTGGCTAAGGTTTTTCTGCAGGTAGGATTTTACAGGACATAAACAGTATTAGGTGAAAATAGAACATTATGGATTAAATCTTAAAGTGAGGACTGTACAACAAAAATTATTAGCACTGCATCATCATGAAAATGTTTGTGTAATATTCTTTTAAATAGTGACACTTTGAAAGACATTAAGTTTAAACACATTTACAATTCAGTAATGGATTTCAAGAAAATTCTGACAGAGGAAAGAAATAAATCAGTTTTTTTAAATTTCTTAAAAAACATTTGAAAATGTGGATGGAACCACAGCATGAAGAGAAAATAAAGTCACTGCAACATGTTGATAATACTAACTACTTGTCTGTCTGACTCTTTGTCCTGTAATCTAACCATTTTGGTATGGAATACATGACTAGTAGGTCATTGTGACTTAAAATTTCCACACTTGATGTATACCTGACTGGTGATCATGATGTGTTTTGAAAAGATGTGGTTGTGAGACATCACACTCAATCTCTTTCTGTAATTTCTCTTTTTCTTAAGGACTATTGCTTAGTTAGCCAAGTGGAAGCAGCCAAAGAGATACAACATCAGTTGTCAACTCCCAAACAGTGGAATCAGGACATCTGACAAATCAACTGAACATATCTGACATCTGTAGTCAGCATAGAGACAGCGCAACATATCCAACCTCAGCTGTCAGCTCAGAGACAGCACAACATATCCAACCTCAGTTGTCAGCTCAGAGACAGCACAACATATCCAACCTCAGTTGTCAGCTCAGAGACAGCAGAACATATCCAAAATCTGTTATTAGTTCATAGACTGTTGAATGTTTTGAACATTATCTGTAATTTCAGAGACGATCAAATTGGGACACCTGACAAATCAGCCGAACATATGCAACATCAGTTGTCAGCTCAGAGACTGCAGAACATATGCAACATCAGTTGTCAGCTCAGAGACTGTCGAACATATGCAACATCAGTTGTCAGCTCAGAGACTGCCTAACATATGCAACATCTGTTGTCAGCTTAAAGGCGATTTAATTTATTGAACATATGTTATCGCCTTAAAGACTTATGTTATTAAGATTTTAAACTCAAAAGTGGAAGGTTTTTAATGGTCTTCATACATGTTTACCAGTATCATGTCTTTGTTTATCTTTGTTTATGTTCTTAAACCTAGATGAAAAGTTGAAACTCGTCTTGATATCGCTTAAGTCAAAATTCCGTTTGAGTCAAAATTATTTTCAATTTTTCCTTCTGTATCTTTGTAATTTTAGTTCAGATGACTTAATTTTGATTGAGTCAACGTGATTTTTCAGTCCCTTCAACTGGAAAGCAAGGTAAAAGTCATTTGTTGTCTCGAAGTTAATTTTTCTCAAAACATCACATCTTCTTACGAAATGCGCCCATAAATACACAAAGTAGAAAGTCACCTGTGCGTTACCCATGTCTAATTAAAGCATATCAGCGGTCCATTGTACGCACAGCACCTGGTCTCTGGTGATTAATTACCAGTTTAATTATCCAATTAATGTTTGGCTTCTTAATTGGTGTCACCATCCTGTAGCAGTGACTTACCTGTACATTAAAAAGTAGTATGTTTACTCAAAACATGAAAACATTTAGCTTGATTGCATGCATCTTCAGGAATGATAAAAACGAAACCAGTACAAACTTTTTGACAAAACCTGATCCCCACGATTCCGAGAGAAACTTATTTTAAGCTTGTTTACTAAAGGACTGTGATTGGGAACTTTAATAGATTAAGTATTTAGACAATGAAGTGCTGAAAGTATTTTTCATTGACAGAGTCTATATCTGTGTGTGATTTGTACAATATTTTCTTTAACATTTATAAACTTTCTAGCGCAGCATTTTTCATTTATTTATTTGTTTATTTATTTATAATAAATGATATATGATGTATATGTGCTTGGTCAGTAAGAGTATTGTACACGTGTGCAGGATGGAACGATGTGACTACAAATGCAATTGATTGAAGTTTTTATTACATGTTTTGTTGTTTGGATGAATAAACAAAAAAAGGAGAAAGTGGAATCCAGTTCATGTGTTTATTTACCACCATTTCAAAAAACCGATTAAACAATGCTGCTTGCAAGCTATCATAGCCTTAGGTTGTTCAAATGTAACCAACGTCAGGAAACTGATATTGTCAACCTTATTATACACTTTGTTATAGTCAAAACTTCAATCCCTTGAATTTCACGATAACAAGTTTCGACTGTAGTGTGTTATTTTTGAACATGAAAAAGATGATCATCATAATTTTTGTTTGAATTCTTTTGAAGTGTAACAACACTTTGTGAGAAACAATTACAGTTTGAATGAACAATGTTGAGGAGTGTATTTGATCCGAATACAAATTTTCTGCTGTTGGCTTAGTGAAATAATAATAATTAAATAAGTGTTAATATGATTACACAATTTTTTATGATAATGACCATAGCTACTAACAACTGATCTGAGAACATCTTTACTCAATTAGATGATCTGACCACACGAGGACTTTGCACAAGTTTTCAGGCTATCTAAATTCCAGTCCAAAATGTCTGGAGTTATCTCCCTTTTCTTACCGTTTTATATATAATGAATAATATCAAATAACTGATGGGTAGTTTGATAAAAATCAGTGTTATCAGAATATACTGTTTATCATTATGAATAGATATTTACATTAATCCTCAATGTAAGTTACAAGATGCTTCTTGAACATTGAATAAATTGTGTAAGCATTGTAGAAAAATACAGTCATATTACGTATGATGGGAGAATCTGGTTAAAACAAGTTACAAAATGTATTTCGTTTTCTTTCCTTAAATGGACTAATGAAGATGTTTAATTGGTTTCAAGTTTTATCGGATATCGGATTTTTGTAGCAGATATATTTGGGGTCGGTCGATGTCTTGTTTAAGTCTGTCGTAGTCTGATGCTGCGAAGCCGTATGTATTTCCCACTCACTGACAAGAGATAGGATGCGAGTAGTAACGTCCGATTGATGGGAATAACCAACTCACCTCACTGAAATGAAACAGCAGATCAATTATATACTGATGTATTTCGTCACAATTTTTCTTATTGTATTACAAACAGATCGAAATTCTGAAATGCTTCAAACAAACATTTCATTGTAATGATTCACAGCAATACCTCTGTTTTGCTGTTGTCTTCCGGTCGATTCTTTATTATTTTTTATTTTTTTCTTAATGCTTTCACCTAAACTTTGAATTTGACTTGTGCAGCTGAAGTTAAGAATTTATGTTGATGCTTTGGCATATATTAAAATTTTACATGTATTGAGAATTAGAAATATATACATCACATCTGCTAACTTATATGTGGATGAATGGTTTATGGAATATATTCTTACCGGTTACACAAAAGGGTGGTTTGAAGCCATGTTGACAGCGACACCGGTTCGGCTTGATGCATCTACCTCCGTTTTGGCAGGGCTGATTGCAGATTGCTTAAATTGATGTAGACAATATCGATTAACACTTGCTGAACGTTATTAAAATGTGACTCTTTAACTTCCTATGACCTACGTATCTGGCTGCAGGAGAATTATTATTATTATTATTATTATTATTACATTCTTAACGCCCCGTCAATATATAAAAGGTCATTAGGGCCATCAACTGGTAAAACACACAGCGATCAAAAAGGAAATAACATTAAACAAACCAAAAGGTAAAAGACAAATGTTAAAAATCTTAAATTGGTTTATTATCACAAAAGATTAAAATGGTACGTCATAGTCTATTATATAGTCCAACATCTTTAGGGTAATGTAGAATGTTACAAATCAAATCAAAAAGTTTTTTTTTTTTTTTTCACGTGATGTTACGATAAAAACATTCTCGAGTAGACTGACGGTCACTGCAGTCCAATAAAAAAGTTAAACGGTGAATGGCTCATCACATCCTATGCACCGAGGATTATCTTCGCCTTTCAACTTATATGAATGCGTAAGGTAGTATGACCCATCCGAAGACCGGCAAGGACAACTTCGTTTCGGTGGCTGTCTCTATAGCCTGGAGACCATTCACCGATAACAGGTTTTTCGGAGTGCAATTTGTTATTGGTATACGTATTCCATTCCTCCTGCCACTGGGCTTTTAAAATTTGTTTAATAAATGGTTTAAAATAGGTAAAATGAAGTTTAAAAGCAACAGGTGGTAGCGATAAAGCTTCCTTTGTGACACAATCTGCTGTATTCCCATGTGCTTAGGAATGAAGACATTTTCGATATTTCTATTGCTAAGACTTTGTAGAACTGAAAGGTGGTCTGAATGGATAACAGCTCTCATTACTTTGTTTCTTTGAATATATTCAAGGGCGAGGTAAATAGCTCGCGTTTCCGCCGAGAATATTGAGGCGTTGTTCAGTAGCCGGCAACCATCTTGTGTAACCATGGCAGCAGCAACTTTATCATTATCTTTTGCAGCATCAGTATATAAATGCAGAAATGTTTGATATTTCAACTGCAATTTTGAGAAGGATGAACGAAGGATGTAACTGTCTGTGCCTGATTTAACCATTTTATGAAGTGAAAAGTCAACTTTAGGTGAATTCAAGAGCCAGTCTGTATTTTCTATCGTTCCAAGTGTGTTTTGTAAAAAAGCGGAAATTCGAATACCGAATAATGGGAGGGTTTTTGTTTTGTTGTGAAACAAGGTTTTATATTTTGGATCAAATACAAAGGAAAAAGTAGGATTTGAAGGATTTGACTTCAGCTTAACTGTGTATTACAAAGCCAATTTATTTCGACGGCTATATAGTGATGGTTCGTTAGCTTCTACATAGAGGCTTGCTGTAGGTGTTACGTGTTCTCATCACGTTGTGAGGGTTCAGACTTGTATGGACCAGCCCGGAAAGACGACACACTCGTGTTGACTGCGAGCCATGTATTTATTATATACTCAACACCAGTAGATACAGTTACATGGACGAACCTACTACTATACACAGGTAATGTATGGTATCTGAACCGAACCAAAGCGTTATACTAATTAATGCCAGGTACTGCTTATAGCACTATGTATAGTTAACTACTATATTACGTTACAGTAGATGTGGTCTTAAAAGCTCCGTGGGCGAGCCTGGGACCTTGGTGTTGAACAGTGTCTAATAAGTTGAGATATGAAGGTCTAGCAGATCCATACACAATGGAACCGTAGTCTAATTTTGATCTAATAAGAGCTCTATAGAGTCTTAGCAAAACTTTTCTATCAATCAGTGTGGGACACAATATTTAGAATATTCAGTACCTTAAGGCATTTGGCTTTAATGTACTTTATATTTGGAAGGAACGACAATTTCCTGTCCAACATTACACCTAAGAATTTGGTTTGTTCAACAACCGGAATGGGTACACCGCAGAGATACAGATTTGGGTCGTCGTGTTGTTTCCGAATTTGAAAAAAAAATGTATACAAACTGTTTTTTATTCTGAAAATATTTAAAACCATTTTCATCTGCCCAAATTTGTAGTCAATTCAAACATAATTGAAGCTGTCTTTCGATGGAATTCATATGCTTAGATCGATATCATATGATGACGTCATCGACATAAAGAGCGCCCTCCATTGAAGGGGATAATATTTTGACGATACTGCTAATTTCAAGTCCAAAAAGTGTAACCGAAAGAATGCTGCCTTGTGGTACACCCATAACCTGCTGATAAACATCGAAAAGGGTCGTTCCATTCCGGATTTGAAATACTCTATCTGCTAGAAAATTGAAATAAAAATTGGTAGATTACATTTAATACCTATATCGTGCAGATCTTTCATTATGCCGTATTCCCACGTTATGTCGTAAGCCTTTTCCAAATCAAAGAAAACAGCAATCAAGTGTTCCTTCTTTAGAAAAGCCTCACGCACAAAGGTTTCAAGTCTAACCAAATGATCGTTGATACCTCGCTTAGATCTAAAACCGTTTTGTAGGGGTGGTATTATACGATTGGATTCCAGATACCAAATTAATCTTGAATTTATCATCCGCTCTAGAGTTTTACAAACGCAACTTGTGAGTGATATTGGGCGGTAATTGGAGGAATCTGTCGTGTTTTTACCCTATTTCGGGATAGGAATCACAGTTGCCATTTTCCATGACTTTGGGACATTACCCGAACTAAAAATATAATTGAAAATATCAAGAAGCTTTTCTAATGACGACTCTAGTAGGTGTTTTAGGAACTGAGTATCATCAGGTCCTGTTGCAGCCATGTGCTTTTTTCAATGATTCTCTAAGTTCTAACATTAAGAAAGATTGATGGTAAGTTTCATTGTTTTCGGATGAGAATTTCAATTTAGTTTTTTCCCGTGTGGTCTTGAATTTTTTTTTTTTTTTTTTTTGTGGAATGATTATTTGCAGATGACTTTTTGGGAAAAGCAGATCCTAAAGCATTTGCAATACCAAATTTCGATGTGGCTAATTTACCATTAGTTTTCAGATGTCCCATTGTTTTGAATGATGTTCTAACACTGATTCGTTTAATCACATCCCATACCTTTTTGGTGGATGTATTGGAATTTAATTTGGACACATAAGATCCCCTAAGACCATCTTTTTTGTGTAAGCGTATAGCACGACGGGCTTATAGTTTAAATAATAGTTTTATTAAATATTCAATAATTTGATACATACGTATGGGATGGGAAAAATCTAAGAACTTATGTTAAGAGGGACGTCCCTGACACATAGGATATTTTATGGGCCCCTAATTGTCTATCGCGGATGGATCTCTCGAAAGCGGGTTTCCCCTATCTAAATCAAACTTCAAAAGATTTCAGTTTGATGATACAGACATTTTCTGAAAACTGATGCACAGACTTACGTTTCTGACATCTGACGCCAGTGTATGTGGGAGGACAGGAGCAGAGATATGGAGCTGTACACCTTCCACCGTGCAGACATGGTAAAACACAAAGGGCTGAAACATCCCAACAAGGATACATTTCAAATGAAATAGACTCAACTTCAAGGGAAGTTTTTCTCCGACAACTTTCCAAAACAAAGAAGAGGTAATTAAACGGCAAAACTCAAGTAGATGTAATCTTCTGATTATTTCATGATATCTAGGTATTGTAACGTTCTAGATCAATAATAATAATATACAACATTTATATAGCGCACTATCTATTTTGAAAAAAATACTCTAATGCGCTTCACAATTACATAATAATCTTACTACAAAATTTATAGAACATGTGTAACACTGTAATCAACATATGTAACACAGTGACCAAATCAAGTAAGTAGTGGTGATAGTATGTATATACAGGATGTCTGCGTGAGAGTTTAAAATGCAGACGTGAACAGGTGGGTTTTAATATCCCTCTTGAATTTGGCCAGGGATTTTGACCTTCTGTTAGCAGATGGTAAGCTGTTCCACAAAGTGGCCGCTACCTTTCCAAAGCACCGGTTACCATAAGTCACAATCCGAAAGTTTGGAACGCACAACAATGATTCTGTCTCCGATCGTAGTGATCGTGACGGCTGATAAACGGTGACAAGTTCCTGCAAATATTCAGGAGCTGTTCCATTTATTGCCTTGTATGTATACATCAAAATCTTGTACTGTGACCGGAATCGCACGGGCAGCCAATGCAATAAGTATAATGTGGTCCCTCTTTCGAGTACGGATAACTAGGCGTGCTGCGGTGTTCTGTACCTTCTGCAGACGGCTCATTAGTGTATCAGATACACCAACGAGTAACGCGTTACCATAGTCTAACCTAGAAGTAACAAGAGAATGTGCCAATGTCTTGCATGCATCTGTGGTGATGAACTGACGGATACACTCAATATTTTTGATTTGGTGATAACAGGAACTGGCAATTGAGTTTATCTGTTTCTCCATGTTCAGAGAGCTATCAAAGTGTACACCAAGGTTTCTCACAGCTTGGACGGCCTCAATAGTTTGGGCACCGACCTTTAACTGGAGACCTTTAGCGTGTTGACACTTGTGGGAAAAGACGATCAGTTCTGTCTTTTCCTGATTGAGCTTGAACATATTTGAGTTCATCCAAGTACTGATGTCATTTAGACAGGCTTCAAGACTTGCTACTATTATGTTCCAGTTGTCTTGAGGTCTGATAACCATGTAGATTTGTGTGTCGTCGGCATAACAATGGTACTGAAGGTTATGAGGACGACAAATCTCCCCGATTGGTTTCGAATAAAGACAGCATTTTCTAGGTCCCAGAAAGGACCCCTGAGGAACTCCGAAGTATAAGGTTTTGCTGTCTGAAACAGTTGATCCAATGGCAACGCACTGTCGTCGTTCATTCAAGTAAGACTGGCTCCAGCGTAATGCATCACCAGTCACTCCATAAGAGTACTCCAGACGCTTGAACAGTGTGCCATGGTCAATGACATCAAATGCAGCAGACTGATCAAGCATGATAAGAACCGCTCTACACTTGTTATCCAGAGCGGCAGCAATATCACTGTAGACACGCAGTAGGGCCGTCTCAATGGAATGTCCTGTGCGATAGGCTGATTGCAAGTTGTCATGAAAACTGTTTGCATGGAGATGAGCCTCAAGTCGCTGGGACACAATCTTCTCCAAGATCTTAGATAAGAAAGGGAGATTTGACACTGGACAGTAGTTCTTTAATACTTCCTTGTTCAGTCCAGGCTTCTTTAGCAGTGGTCTTACATTAGCCTTCTCGAAACACAATGGAACCCTAGACTCTGCTAATGATTTATTCATGATTAAGGTGATCAAGGATAGCAGTGCATCAAGACATTGCTTCAGTAAAATTGTAGGAAGCGGGTCAAGCTCACAGGACTTCGATTGCGAGTTTGTAATGATCTTGCGCAATTCTTCTTTGGTTGTTGGAGTGAGCTGCGTCAAAGGTTCACCAGAGAATTGGATATCGGCATCCATGACAGAGATGGCATGATCGGAAGTTGAGTTCACCACATCAATCTTTTGCCTGATTGTGTTAATTTTATCCTGGAAAAAAATCACTGAACTTGTTGGACAAGATTTTTTCAGATGAACAGCTTGGTAGGGCGATTTCACCAGTATGTCCCATTAGGTTTCTGGTGAGTCTAAAAATCTGTATTGTATCCGATCCACATTCTGTGATTTTACCTGAATAATAACCCTTCTTACGTTGAATGAGTAGTGAACTGACTGCCTGACAATGTTCTCTGTATATCTGGCGATGGATGATTAGTTTGGTCTTTCGCCAACGTTTCTCTGCCCTCCTTCGCAATTGTTTTGCATCACGAAGTTGTTCGTTGTACCAAGGCGCGTTAGGTCTGACAGTAATTACCTTTGTCTGAAGAGGTGCATGCTTCTCGATCAGAGCTTCGATACCAGAGTTATATGCTTCAACAAGACAATCAACACACCCTCAGTAGTCTGAAGGACTGAAGATGACTGAATGTCTTTGATGAAATCAGGTACAGAAATTTCGCGGAATTTCCGGAAGCTGACCTCTTTTCTGGCACGTTGGCACAATAACAGGTGACAGGTGCATTGTGACATCTTACATCAGTGTATTGTGATGTCTTAGATCAGTGTTTGATAAAGAACCAGGAACTTAAATGTTTTGTTCCCCCGTGTATTTCTTATTTGATTTGGACGTTAGTTCACGAAATACTGTTCAGTACAGTTAATACATTTGTACCCTTTTATAAAAAATACAATGTTTCATATGTGTTTAATGTCAAGAGTCAATTGAGGTAAATATTGATGAGGTTTTGCTTTGAAGGTTTTGTATTTTTGAATTAGAAGACAACTCACCCTTTTCACATCTCCTACCGCCATAACCAATTGGGCATTTACAACCATACAAGCCAAGACAGTGTCCCCCGTTGAAGCATCCACCCTTACAGGGCACTATAACAGCAAAGAAACATCAACAACAACAAAACAGCGTATTTTATTTTAAATGTTACACTCTATATCCAGTTTCTTACAAATATCATATTGCACTTAGTATGCATTGGGATTACGATAGCCTTTCTATGAAAAGTATATTGCTTTTATAACTCTTGAAATATTGTGTCAAACTGACTCACATGAGCAGGCGATCTCCCCGTCCCATTCACCGGTTGGCAAACAAATTAAGATCGGTGGTATTTTGGCTGGTGCTATGCCAGGACGACACCGGAATCGTACCCGGTCACCGTAGAAGTACGACCGTCCTGATATTTGGACGACATTCACCATGTCTGTAACACGTGGCTTTCCACAGGACACTCCTGCATTAAACATAGAATTGGTCATAAAGTTTTCATTTTACTATTGAAATAAAGGAACTAACTCACTGCAATCTGATAAAAAATGATGGGCAAAGTTTATATTATCGACAATTGTAAAGACTGTTGGTGGAAAATGTGTCCAAGGTGCATTTATATATCATTAACTTTACTGCTAGAGACCAAAATGTGAACTCAACAGTGATGCTAGGAACTAGAAATGGAACGACTCAACAATGATGCTCAAAAGTGTAAACTCATCCATGATGCTAGGAGCTAGAAATTATAAGATTCTACGACGATGAGAAGGAGCAGAAGTAAAGACTCATCAGTAAAGCGAGGAACAGTAATGTTCAGTCTCGTCAGTGATGAAGGGGACAAGAAAAGAGGTAAATAATGTAAAGATTCGACAGTAAGGCTAGAGAACCAAAGCGTGAAAAGGCAGAAAGGAAGAGCGAAAAAACCAATATCTTTCCAAAAAGCTTCAAACCTTAAAAAATACAGAAAGGCAGCCTGACTATTTCCCTGATTCACATGGGGACACTTTGGCAGGGTTTAGGAGTAAATACATCACCGACAATACCTAGGGACATGCAGCGTTTATGCTGGTAACATTTGTCACAACTTATAAATTTTATGAAACGTGGAATGGTTTTGCAAATCTTGATATGTATAGGTTTTGTGAAATATAGAAATTTATGTGTCCACTCTAATTTGTTTCTTCAATATGAACGATGAATATACAAACGTGATTAATCTTACTTCGACATATTCCACTGGGGGTCGACCATACATTTTCTGAAGTACATGTGGTTTCCATGTTACCAATGGCCTGGTATCCCGTTCTACATTGCACTGTGTACATCTCACCTTCTCTATAGGCGGAAGGTATGACCTGTGCATTCGCCAAATTACCTTGTTCAGGACAGGCTTCAACACTTACTGCAGTGAGAAAAATATCACTTCATTAAGTCTTATAATAAATGTGACAAATCAAATAAGTATTCCTAAAACAAAGGCTTCTCTGGTGTGAATAAAATGCCTTGTCTAACTACAGCAAGATACAAAAGGATACCCTACACACGTATATGTTGTATAAAAATGAAAGCTGTAATTTTCATTTAACATCTTAAGAATATGATTGTTAAGACGCATTTGAATATGATATGTTATTGAATGTTCGTGAATATATAATAGAAATTAAAAAAAAAACGTTGGCATTCATTTGCTATATGATACGCATAAAATACTTTTTAAGAACGATTACATTTGATATATTTACAACAGTGTGTGTATATATATATCTGTATGAATGTTAATCATCTATTAGCCATTTTTTTATGTTTCGAAAATTTAGATGTAATAAAGTTCTGGACGAACCAACACTTCATATGTAAATCTCTTGCTGATTTTTCGACATCAGATGATTCATTGACTGTTATTCTGCGGATATATCATTTTACACATACTGCATCGTAAAAATACTATGTATCAGATATCTCACAAACGTAATGGGATAATTTATCAATTGTATAAAATACACCACAAAACCTTACCAGAAATTCTTTTTTTTAATTTATTACAGCATGCATGTAAAAATAATGTGAGAATATTGATACATCTTTCTACTTTCTACTTTGTATTAGGAATGTAAAGGCTTGACCTTACCCACAATACATGTTGGATTCACTGCACTCCATCTTCCATTGGACATGCACTGGGAGGACGATGTTTCAGTGATTACATAGCCCTCATTACAAATAAACTCAATGCTGTCACCATACACGTATTTATCTTTCTTCCCGGTCTTAATGATGAGGTTGGAATCAAACACCGGAAAGTCTCCACATGAAATAACTGAAAGATATTATGCTAGTTCATTAATGGCAACACGTCACGGAACGACAATTCAAATGAAGTAAAACTTTGGACATTACATCCAAAAGCAAAAGAAGGTAATGTATTTACTGTGTTGCTTTGTGAAAAGTAAACACCTATACATGGATAAAACATGATAATCTTACGGAAACATTCAACTTTATTGCATATTCTTACTTTGGCATTCCGGTGAAGCGCTGCTCCATTCCCCGGAGGACATGCAGCTTGCATTCGTTTCTCCACTTATAAGGTAACCTACGGGACAGGAAAACGTCACTGTCCCGCCCAAGAAATGATCACTGCCAACTACGATTACGTTACTATGTATTTTCGGTGGACCGCAGCTGTTTTTATCACAACGTGGAGACAATCCTATCCAATTTCCAGTTTCATCACAACGCATGACATCATTTCCGGACATGACAAATCCAGCATCGCAGGAATAAGTTGCCTCGGAGGGATAGCTCGTAGACAACGTAGACGCTGCTGCATTCGGAAACTGTGGAGGAGGACCGCAATCCACTGCGATACAAGAAAGATGGTGGTCGAAATTCCATGTCCCTTCTGCGGAACACTTCACCATGGGATCTCCTCTCAATATGAAACCTGAGATACAGTAGAAGGTGACGACGCTGTCGAAGGTGGTGGTCGTAAAGATGGTGTTAAAGTGTGGCAAAACTGGCGGTGGACCACAATCTACAGGTGAACAGATAGGCATGTTGCCCTCCCACAAACTGTTCGCAGCACAACGGAGCACATTATTCCCATGTAGTTCGTATCCGGTCTCACATGTGTAGTACACGCTATTTTTAAAGCTGAAATCGTCACCATTGCGAATAGCATCCGGTATCTGCGGTGGAGAGCCACAAGATATCGGCTCGCATTGAGGAGGGAAACTTGACCATGTGGCGTCCTCCAAGCACACGAGTACGTCATCTCCAACTAATGTGTACCCGTCCTCACAGAAATAGGTCAGTAGGTTACCATACGTGTACAAGTCGCCAAGACGACCTGAATTAGCAACAAATGTGGGCTCACCACAGTTTACAGGATTACAGACAGGATACTCATCACTCCATTTTCCATTTTCTACGCATGTCAAATCTCGTTCACCTTTCAATTCAAATCCTTCATAGCATGTGTAAATTGCGCGGCTATTGTAGACAAGAGCGTTGTTCATCACTTCACCGTTGAATATACTCTTTGGCTTTGGACAGGTAATTCTATCACACTGGGGTAGTGTGCCATTCCACGATCCATCTGTGGTGCATACAAGATCCGTATTTCCAACCATGACGTATCCTTCATCACAAATATACGATACAACGTCATCAACGACAAACTGGGTTTTAGCTATGGAAGCCGACCCTTTCCAAATAGAGGGAACTGTACATGTTATCAATCGACATGTTGGTGAAGAGCCACTCCACGATCCGTTCTGCCGACAAATTCGTCTTCCCGATCCGACGAGTTCATATCCATATCCACATGCATAAATTATTTCTTGGTTGAAGTTGAATTGAGAACCTTCTATCTGTCCATTTTCGAACTCCCCTGGATTTCCACATGATATTATTGAACAAACCGGGAATGCTGAGGACGACCACGAGCCGTCCCCTTGGCATGTCAATTGAGTATCGCCACTAATAGCATACCCTTCCGCACACTCGACAGTGAGAGTGTCACCATAGAGGAAACTATCACCATTAACCCTTGCATTGTCGATTACTGGAGCTTCTTCACATTCTGCTCGGGAACATTCAATATGGATTGTTGACCACCTGCCGTTCAGTCCACACGAGGCAGTAACGACCGATCCGCCAATGCTTTTGAAACCCTCGTTGCATCGTATTTCAACCATACTGTTATAAGTTGTTGTTCCATTTAAAAGACTGGTCATTGTATTGGGCTTTGCTGGTATATCATCACACATTATAATTTTACAACGAGGAATCGGGCGTGACCACTTTCTTGTTGCCTCACATTTTCTAATAGGACGTCCTCTTGATAGTTCGAAACCTTCATTGCATTCTATTTGGATAGTGTCCCCGAAGAAATAGTTTGGCTGTCGTGCACTAACGATTCTAGCATTAGCAGGTGTACGTGGTGGTATACATCGTACTTTATTGCAGTTTGGTTCAGGACCCGACCACATCTTGCTGTACATACACAGTCGGAAGGAGACCGAGTCGAGAATATATCCCGATTTACAGCGATATCGGATCTGACTTCCAAGATTGTAAACATTGCCGAGTATTTCTCCGTTTTCGATTGGTTGTGGCGGGAGACAGGCAATAGCGGTACAGGTTGGTGCAACACCTGACCAATTTCCGCTCGAATCACATATTCGAGTCAAAGTCCCATTGGCTTCAAAGCCTGCTTCACATGTATATGTAGCAATATTGCCATACGCAAGGGAAGTAAAATCGACTACGCCATTCAATATATCGTTTGGAGTTTCACACTCTATCTGACTACATGAAGGCTGTGTACCGTTCCATGTCCCGTTTGACAGACAACTGATAGCCGCATCACCTACCATAACAAAGCCTTCGTTACACCTAAACAATAATACCGTTTCAAAAACGTTGTCAAATTCATTTTCGATATCGCCATTTTGTATGGAAAAAGAGCCTGCGCATCGAATAATATTACAAAATGGCATGGTTCCGCTCCATCGTCCATCTGATAAACACAGCCTTGTGTCGCTCCCAACTAATATAAATCCTTCATCACACTCGAACCGTGCAGTCGACCCTACTATTTTTCCATCCAACTTGATGCTTCCATTTTGAAATATTTCGTCCTCTTCTATGCTAGAGCATATTTTGGGGGTGCATCTGGGCGGTCTATCAGGATATATGCCATCAATTCGACAATCCAATTTGCTTCGCCCAGTAATGTCATATCCTGTATTGCACTCGTAGGTAACAACACCATCACTGGAAACAGTAAAATTGGCAAAGTCAACTGCTGGCGGCGGGTCGCAGATAACACAGACCGGAGATGGGCCGCTCCATCTTCCACTTTCGAGACAAGTTCTTTCTGAAGACCCGAACAGGACATAGCCAGATCTACACGTAAACGATACAATGGAGCCATACTCTGTTTGAAATGTACTTGGAAATCCATTCGAGAGGAAAGCCCTGTTACAATTAACTATTTCACATAAAGGTATGGATGTATCCCATTCCCCGGTAGACAGACACGTTCTATTAGCGGCACCCACCAAGATATACCCGACATCACATTCATAATGTATGGTACTGTTGTAAGTAAAATCTGTACCATGCATGCGGCCATTGGATGTAACAGTAGAGGGTGATTCACACCGTATGATATCACAAGAAGGTATTAATCCCGTCCATTCTGTAGAGGCTGAACACCGCAGTGAAGCTGAACCCTTCAATATATATCCTGTCTCGCAAAAATATGAAGCCACTGAATTAAACGTCGATCCATTGGTTGATTGTCCTCCGTTGTCAATATTCGGGGGATCACTACATCTAACGGGATTACAAACAGGATCTGTACCAAACCAAGATAAAGTAGGCATACACCTACGAACCTCATTTCCTTCTAGTTCATAGCCAAGATTGCATTCATATGTCGACACGGAACCTAGTTTTAATTCTTTGAAATCTACATTTCCATTCTGAATCGAGATGGGAGGAGAACAGCTACCTGCTTGACAAGATGGGGTATTACCAGACCAAAACCCTTCTGGCTTACATATCCTGACGGATTCTCCTTCTAAATCGTAGCCTTGATTACAGGAATATTCTGCTTTGCTTGTAAATGTTCGACCAAGCATGTTGACTAATCCATTGGGTATGTTTCGTAATGCTGGACATTCAACAGTAGAACAAGACGGCGGAGAAGGTGCCCATGATCCATTAGCTTTACAAGCAAGAGTGGCATTACCTTCAATGTAATATCCGACATTACAGTCATACACCACCTCATCGCCAAAATAAAAGGCACTATTTGCGAAGAAGCCGTTTAGAATGAAAGGTGGCTTGACACATTCACGTCTTCTACAGTTTGGCATTTGGCTAGTCCAGCGTCCGTTTTGTTCACACACCCTTTCCTCCACTCCGCTTATAAGGTAACCGTCATCACAAAAGTATCTTACTGTGCTACCATACCTAAATTCGTTGCCGATGAATCGTCCATTTTCGATGTCAGCTGGCGTACCACACGAGACGGGACTACATATAGGAATCCCTTCACTCCAAGACCCATTCTGAAGACAAGATCGTTGAGCATTACCAATTATTTCAAATCCACCTTTACACTGGTATGTAATTATGGACCGATATGTATAACTGTCCGCCTTCACTATACTATTTAGCACACTGTCTGGTACACCACAGTCTACAGGTATACACTCTGGTGGAGATGGTTCCCACAGCCTTGTTTCCATACATTCTGCGATATTATCTGATCCTATTGTAGTATAACCTGGATCACAAATATACTCTGCTTTACTAAGAAATGTTCTAGATGTCCAAATTGCATTACCATTTATGACATCCGGGGGATCTTGACATTTTAAAATATTACAAACGGGGAGATTTTCTTCCCATTCTCCAGAAGGAAGACAACGGACCGTGCCAGAGGGATTTTTATCAGAGAGTGCGTAGGCAAAGTCACATTCATAGGTTAGGATGTGTCCTATTGAATATTCGGTTAGTTCTTCTTTTGGTGACGCCATGTCAACACGAGGTGCTGTCTTGCATGTTTGGAGGTCACAAGAAGGTATGCTTCTCGAGAATGTTCCATCCGACTGGCAGAGCACAGTGGAATGACTTGTGTACATTCTGTGACCAACTGCGCAGCCAAAGGAAATTGTATCCCCAGGAGAATAAATTCTACTCGATGTGAGAACTCTGGTGTTCTCTGACAATTCGGGAAGAATGCACTTCACAGCTGCAAAAGGAAGTGAAAGATATTTCATTTGATTACACATACAAGAGAATGTAGTGTGGCAAAATTTGAAACATCTTTGTTCTATATTTTATTATTGAAATAGCTTTGAAGAGGTGTTACCCAAAAATGTACATATTTGTGCCTTCAGAGATACAATCACACTACCTACTTTTTTAAAGTAAACTGCATGTCATCTCAGATTCATCAGCGATAACAAATTGTATCCTTGCCTTATAGGATACTTCACAGTTACACACTTACCGTCTTAGGTAGATGCCGCGTCTTCCAGAATACTTTACAGGTATGACTCGTGCCTTCCACAATACTGCACAGGTGTAGACAAACCTTCCAGGATACTTTGGAGTTACAGACTTACGTTCACAGATAATTGTCCAACCTTGCAGGATACTTTGGAGTTACAGACTTACATTCACAGATACGTGTCCAACCTTTCAGGATACTTTGGAGTTACAGACTTACATTCACAGGTAGGTGTCCAACCTTCCAGGATACTTTGGAGTTACAGACTTACGTTCACAGATAAGTGTCCAACCTTCCAGGATACTTTGGAGTTATAGACTTCCTTTCACAGGTAGGTGTCCAACCTTCCAGGATACTTTGGAATTACAGACTTACGTTCACAGATAAGTGTCCAACTTTCCAGGATACTTTGGAGTTACAGACTTACGTTCACAGATAATTGTCCAATCTTCCAGGATACTTTGGAGTTATATAGTTACGTTCACAGGTAGATGTCCAGCCTTCCAGGATACTTTGGAGTTACAGACTTACGTTCACAGATAAGTGTCCAACCTTCCAGGATACTTTGGAGTTATAGACTTACGTTCACAGATAAGTGTCCAACCTTCCAGGATACTTTGGAGTTATAGACTTACGTTCACAGGTACGTGTTCAGCCTTCCAGGATACTTTGGAGTTACAGACTTACGTTCACAGATAAGTGCCCAGCCTTCCAGGATACTTTTGAGTTACAGACTTACGTTCTCAGATAAGTGTCCAACCTTCCAGGATACTTTGGAGTTATAGACTTACGTTCACAGATCAGTGTCAAACCTTCTAGTATACTTTGGAGTTATAGACTTACGTTCACAGGTAGGTGTCCAGCCTTCCAGGATACTTTGGAGTTACAGACTTACGTTAACAGATAAGTGTCCAGCCTTCCAGGATACTTTGGAGTTATAGACTTACGTTCACAGGTAGGTGTCCAGCCTTCCAGGATACTTTGGAGTTACAGACTTACGTTCACAGATAAGTGCCCAGCCTTCCAGGATACTTTGGAGTTACAGACTTACGTTCACAGATAAGTGTCCAACCTTCCAGGATACTTTGGAGTTATAGACTTACGTTCACAGGTAGGTGTCCAGCCTTCCAGGATACTTTGGAGTTACAGACTTACGTTCACAGATAAGTGTCCAACCTTCCAGGATACTTTGGAGTTACAGACTTACGTTCACAGATAAGTGTCCAACCTTCCAGGATACTTTGGAGTTATAGACTTACGTGCACAGGTAGGTGTCCAGCCTTCCAGGATACTTTGGAGTTACAGACTTACATTAACAGATCAGTGTCCAGACTTCCAGGATACATTGGAGTTATAGACTTACGTTCACAGATAAGTGTCCAACCTTCCAGGATACTTTGGAGTTAAAGACTTACGTTCACAGATAAGTGTCCAACCTTCCAGGATACTTTGGAGTTACAGACTTACGTTCACAGATCAGTGTCAGCCTTCCAGGATACTTTGGAGTTACAGACTTACGTTCACAGATAAGTGTCCAACCTTCCAGGATACTTTGGAGTTACAGACTTACGTTCTCAGATAAGTGTCCAACCTTCCAGGATACTTTGGAGTTATAGACTTACGTTCACAGGTAGGTGTCCAGCCTTCCAGGATACTTTGGAGTTATAGACTTACGTTCACAGATAAGTGTCCAACCCCCCAGGATACTTTGGAGTTATAGACTTACGTTAAAAGATCAGTGTCCAGCCTTCCAAGATACTTCGGAGTTATAGACTTACGTTAACAGATCAGTGTCCAGCCTTCCAGGATACTTTGGAGTTACAGACTTACGTTCACAGATAAGTGTCCAACCTTCCAGGATACTTTGGAGTTACAGACTTACGTTCACAGGTAGGTGTCCAACCTTCCAGGATACTTTGGAGTTACAGACTTACGTTCACAGATAAGTGTCCAACCTTCCAGGATACTTTGGAGTTACAGAATTACGTTCACAGATAAGTGTCAGCCTTCGAGGATACTTTGGAGTTACAGAATTACGTTCTCAGATAAGTGTCCAATCTTCCAGGATACTTTGGAGTTATATAGTTACGTTCACAGGTAGGTGTCCAGCCTTCCACGATACTTTGGAGTTATAGACTTACGTTAACAGATCAGTGTCCAGCCTTCCAAGATACTTCGGAGTTATAGACTTACGTTCACAGATAAGTGCCCAGCCTTCCAGTATACTTTTGAGTTTCAGACTTACGTTCACAGATAAGTGTCCAGCCTTCCAGGATACTTTTGAGTTACAGACTTAGGTTCTCAGATAAGTGTCCAACCTTCCAGGATACTTTGGAGTTACAGACTTACGTTCACAGATAATTGTCCAACCCTACAGGATACTTTGGAGTTATAGACTTACGTTCACAGATAAGTGTCCAACCTTCCAGGATACTTTGGAGTTACAGACTTACGTTAACAGGTAGGTGTCCAGCATTCCACAATACTTTGAAGTTATAGACCTACGTTCACAGGTAGGTGTCCAACCTTCCAGGATACTTTGGAGTTACAGACTTACGTTCACAGATAAGTGTCCAACCTTTCACGATACTTTGGAGTTATAGACTTACGTTCACAGATAAGTGCCCAGTGTTCCAGGATACTTTGGAGTTATAGAGATACGTTCAGAGGTAGGTGGCCAGCCTTCCAGGATACTTTGGAGTTACAGACTTACGTTAACAGATAAGTGTCCAACCTTCCAGGATACTTTGGAGTTACAGACTTACGTTCTCAGATAAGTGTCCAACCTTCCAGGATACTTTGGAGTTATAGACTTACGTTCACAGGTAGGTGTCCAGCCTTCCAGGATACTTTGGAGTTATAGACTTACGTTCACAGATAAGTGTCCAACCTTCCAGGATACTTTGGAGTTACAGACTTACGTTAACATATAAGTGTCCAACCTTCCACAATACTTTGGAGTTATAGACTTACGTTCACAGGTAGGTGTCCAACCTTCCAGGATACTTTGGAGTTATAGACTTACGTTCACAGGTAGGTGTCCAGCCTTCCAGGATACTTTGGAGTTATAGACTTACGTTCACAGATAAGTGTCCAACCTTCCAGGATACTTTGGAGTTACAGACTTATGTTCACAGATAAGTGTTCAACCTTGCAGGGTACTTTGGAGTTACAGACTTACGTTCACAGATAAATGTCCAACTTTCCAGGATACTTTAGAGTTACAGACTTACGTTCACAGATAAGTGTCCAGCCTTCCAGGATACTTTGGAGTTACAGACTTACGTTCACAGATAATTGTCCAACCCTCCAGAATACTTTGGAGTTATAGACTTACGTTCACAGATAAGTGTCCAACCTTCCAGGATACTTTGGAGTTACAGACTTACGTTCACAGTTAAGTGTCCAACCTTCCAGGATACTTTGGAGTTACAGACTTACGTTCACAGATAAGTGTCCAACCTTCCAGGATACTTTGGAGTTACAAACTTACGTTCACAGATAAGTAACCAGCCTTCCAGGTTACTTTGGAGTTACAGACTTACGTTCTCAGATAAGTGTCCAACCTTCCAGGATACTTTGGAGTTATAGACTTATGTGCACAGGTAGGTGTCCAGCCTTCCAGGATATTTGGAGTTACAGACTTACGTTCATAGATAAGTGTCCAACCCTCCAGGATACTTTGGAGTTACAGACTTACGTTCTCAGATAATTGTTCAACCTTCCAGGATACTTTGGAGTTACAGACTTACGTTCACAGATAGGTGTCCAACCTTCCAGTATACTTTGGAGTTATAGACTTACGTTCACAGGTAGGTGTCCAGCCTTCCACGAAACTTTGGAGTTATAGATTTCCGTTCGCAGGTAGGTGTCCAACCTTCCAGTATACTTCGGAGTTACAGACTTACGTTCACAGATAAGTGCCCAGCCTTCCTGGATACTTTGGAGTTACAGACTTACTTTCTCAGATAAGTGTCCAACCTTCCAGGATACTTTGGAGTTATAGACTTACGTTCACAGGTAGGTGTCCAGCCTTCCAGGATACTTTGGAGTTACAGACTTACGTTAACAGATAAGTGTCCAACCTTCCACGATACTTTGGAGTTATAGACTTACGTTAACAGATCAGTGTCCAGCCTTCCAGGATACTTCGGAGTTATAGACTTACGTTCTCAGATAAGTGTCCAACCTTCCAGGATACTTTGGAGTTATAGATTTACGTTCACAGGTAGGTGTCCAGCCTTCCAAGATACTTTGGAGTTATAGACTTACGTTCACAGGTAGGTGTCCAACCTTCCAGGATACTTTGGAGTTATAGACTTACGTTCACAGATCAGTGTCAAACCTTCCAGTATACTTTGGAGTTATAGACTTACGTTCACAGGTAGGCGTCCAGCCTTCCAGGATACTTTGGAGTTACAGACTTACGTTAACAGATAAGTGTCCAGCCTTCCAAGATACTTTGGAGTTATAGACTTACGTTCACAGGTAGGTGTCCAACCTTCCAGGATACTTTGGAGTTATAGACTTACGTTCACAGGTAGGTGTCCAGCCTTCCAGGATACTTTGGAGTTACAGACTTACGTTAACAGATAAGTGTCCAACCTTCCACAATACTTTGGAGTTATAGACTTACGTTCACAGATAAGTGTCCAACCTTCCAAGATACTTTGGAGTTACAGACTTACGTTAACAGATAATTTTTCAACCTTGCAGGATACTTTGGAGTTACAGACTTA